TCTTATGATCGGATTCCTGGACGTCATTGATGTGAACAAAGATTCCTACCAAGTAGTGGAGCTCTACGCGGGGAGCAGCGGCTTGTGAAACTAGCCAAAGGGATGGGATTGAAAACAGCATCCATGGACCGAGACTATGATAGTGGCGACAACAAAACCAAAAACAATTCCATGGATATGAATACATCAGCTGGCTTTACGTTTCTCAACTTGATTTTACCTTCGTATCCCTCAAGATTTTTTTAAGGGAGATATCCTTGATTTGGGTTGATCGACTTTGGAATATGGGTGAATCCCTGCAACCTTTCCATTACCACTTTTCAACTTTTCTTGCCCGGCCCAGGTTGGCCTGCATCGTCATACTCCAAGCTCAGTGGGACGCGTTCCTGTTGCTGATGGGGATTTGTTGCTCTACGTTTGTAGCAATTTCAAGGGGATCTACCTGTAGAAGCTTGTTTCTGCCAGAAGGTTGCCCAGTGTCGTTAGCGGTGTATAAAGCTAACAAAGGACTTTGCAGGCAAGGTGTGAATGAAACCGTTGGTTTAACAATGGGGACTTACCTTGGGGAATCCAGTGTTGTTGTGACATTTATTAAAGATAACGTATGTAATTTGGAAAATCGGTTAGATCATCATAGTTCAACCCCTGCAGGTGTGTGCTCATAATCTTGCTGACTATAGCAGCTGGTGGGGTGCCAATCATAGAGAATCCCGTGTCCACTCTCCTTAATGCCCATCAGCGTTTTCGATACCTGGTTGCTCTTCTCAAGAGCCGTGGTATTAGTGCGTTGGCTAAACTGTGAAACGTTTATTTCTATTGTCAACTCATGGTGTTGATCCATGGCTTCAGAATTCTGGAACCCAGTGCCTAGGTCATACCACAGCCCCATGGATAAACACCATAACTTGGCAATTCTGTGGTAAGGTTATTCTGTAATTGGTGATTCTCGTTCCCTTGGACAGGTCACACACAGTTGACTATGGGCATGGTTAACACTACTTGCAAGATGTTGCAACAAACATTCTTTACTTTAACGTGTCCTGTTTTTTTCAGGGAAAACCCAGGTGGAGGACCACCACAGTATGGAGAATGGTTTGCATCATCATGTTTCGGCAACATAATCCGTCTTTTTGCGCTCAGAGATGGTGCTAAAATTTTGGGTCAGGTGTACATTCATCTGCTGTTCTGTTGTCTTGGTTACAAGGATCTCTTTGGACACCGTTTCCCTTCTCCGTTTTCTTCACATACCCCAAGTGTACATACCCCAGAAACATACCTTGAATAATATGTCTGATTATACTATACCTTATAAATTTATGGGATTCCCAAGAATATCTTGGGGTAAGACCATTACGGGGTATGTGAAAACAGTAATCAGCTGCTACCCATATGTCCTCCAACTTTGGCCACAGCCAAACGCAGCGCTGCCTCAGGTATGTACAGGCAAGCTCTGTGGATGAAGCACTATGGGCACATGTGCTTAAAACGCACACTGCTGTGGTCAACCTCCAGGACAATTGCATCTTTGGATCTTGGTCCCATCCAGAAGGGAAAGCACCGGTCATTGGTGAAAACTGCCGAGAAATATACAGATAAACGTGGGCAAACCAGATACAAAGGCACTGGCAAAGTTCTCAAAAATACCCAGCTTCTAGTTTGCAATGGTGGTTTCTATTCTTTCATGTTTCTGTTCATTTGTTTCCTTAGAGCTAGGTTGAATTTTCATTTGGGGAACCAGTGTGGGCTGGTGTGCCACCCTCTGCATCTAAGACTATATCCAGTACGCTTCGTTGGCAAGATCTTGGAGAAACGAAAAGAATTTCTGAGAACAGCGCCTACGCTTCCAGAGGTGCTACTGAGCTACTACTGTTTGGATGAGCTTTTGCTGTCACTTATCATGTCCAGAACCCATGGGACGGATAGTAAAATCAACAGTTCCTATTACCCCTGCAAACTCACACTGTCAATCCCTTTAGGTGACTATGGATGGCCCATCCCTTTTGGAAATCCTCAAGGCCATGCCTACTGGTGATCCTTGGGACGATGCTGAATTATGGGCAGTTTATGAATACATCAGGGGATCAAAACGTCTCCATGTGCCCGAAGTCTGGCGTAGTGTGTTGTTTGAATACCCCAGCTGAGCAGCCTACCCCCAGCTGATGTGAGGCAACAATTCATAATTTGGACTCGCTGGCAACATAACACGTGTTGCAATTTGATGGGGTGAAAAGTGCAAAATGTGTGGCTGATACAACCTGTAACATGACCCAATAAGCAATTCAAAAAAACACAACTCGGGCTGAATTTGAAATTCAGCCTGAAAGTGTTCAGGCGGGAATCGGCGCGAAACGGGCGGGAATCGGCGCGAAACGGGCGGAACACCCCGTGCCGCTGTTTTTAGAAAATCCCAAGTTGATTTTTTTGTAGCTCTGGAAAACCATCAACTTGAAAATTTATGTTGCTTCAAATCCGGATTTATGAGATCTTGGCTGCAGCGTCCCCAGATAGGTGACACATGAGCTTTGCCAGCAAAGCTTGGCCAAGTGAAACTCTGATCCGAGGGCTAGACCAGGTCCATAGAGGGTCGAAGATGGCCATGTCGTCTTTGGAAGATCCTGACCCGGCAGCCATGAGAGAAGAACTTGCCCGTTTAGAGGTGACTCAACCTAATCTCAGGTGTGTTTGAATGCTGACGTATACCTCTTATCATTGGGTGGCTGTTGTGCCTTGGTCATACGTACACCAACCTTAATCTATCTTTGTCCATCTTCCACGCATCATGCTTTTGAGGCGATGGAGGCTCAGCTGTTGATGAATCAGAAGGCTGAACATGCAGCTGAATGTCCGGCAGGATTGGTCGACCATGCATTACTAGATTGGGGAAAGGGCTGGGTGAACATGCACACAAGCGCAAGCCAAAAAAAGGACCCATCAAAGTTATCACCACACGGATGTTGATATGTGCATGATACTGCTCTGATTTGTTTGATAGCTAAGATATTGAAAAGACTTCAGATACTATATTTGTTTGTACTTCTGATGCTTTTTGGATGGTATCTTTCAATTTATGATCTTAAAGGATATCTGCCTGGATCAGTGCCCTGCCCAGGACCCTCCTTGGAAGCTTCGTCTCCACAAGCGGCTCCTGTGGCATCTGTGGGGGCTGATGATGTTGGCTTACTGGAAACCCAGCCAGGGATCCCCGGTATTTCTGATTTCAGGGAGGATTCTGAGCAACAGCCTGGTGATGTTTGTGAAACCCCGGCCCCAGGGGCCCCAGACCCAGACAATGGACCCACCAATCCTGGGGATGAACATGTTCCACCAGAACCACAACAGTGTTTGGAAAGGGATACCAGGAAAAGAGGCAGAGATGTTGATCATGAGTTTGCATCAGCCTCGCTTCCGCCAGAAGCTCTTTCGGAAAAAGCCATTTACAACCGTTTGTACCGTGTGTTCGTCAAAAGAAGTGATGGGTCCTACATCCTTGATGATGAATGGGTGAAAGCTTGGAATGATATCGACGGTGGTGGTCGTGCATCTTTGTACTCGATTTTCGAGAAAGTTGGCTACAAGCGGGACCGGTTTGATTAAACTATCTTTCATTCTAACTCGCAGTGGTATTGGCCAGCATTTTTTCCTACTGAACCCATGTGGTTTGAATCAAGGTTTGTATTGGACCCTTAACCCCCCAAGACTATCCCCACACTGCCCTGCAGGAGAAACTCATCAAGCGGTGCAAGGCTATCACTGAGAAGATTTCAGGGGAGATCAGTGAAATCGAGGGCGAGTGGTTGACCCTGCTGGACATGCAGAAATTGAATTTCTCTGAGCCACCCAGTTTAATTTGTGAAGAAACATGTACTGGTCTAGGAGTACAACATTGTCTTCTATGAAGCCAAAATACTGATGTGATTCCTTTAGATAAGCCAAATCTGCTGAGGACCAAGATCAAGGGAGTTACTCGCTACTGTGAGAGCCGCCCTCATCTCACAAGGCTGGGGATTTAGAATCTAGGCCCTAGGCAATACATTTTGGCTTCACCGGTGTAGAATTGAACATCTGAATCTTCTGAATGTAATGTCCAACTGACCAACATTTTTTGTGTTGCAGGATGAGCAAATATGGTGAGGGGATGATGTACTGGACTGAAGTCAGATCCAAAGGTTCCCTGAAGTGCCTCGTTGGAATTTGATCTTCTTCAGGTGTACATGTCAGCATGTTCTCGATCAGTGTGCACTAGTGCAGGATAGTATGGGATGTATGCGATAGTTTGTTCAAACATTGGCATCCAATACCATGTGTGAAAATGCATAAAATATTAAACATCATCACCAGCTGTTTTGTAAGAATATATTCCATGCAAAATGTGCATTATCTATTCAATATTTCCATTCATGAAGTATATTCACAGGATTATAGCCCTCATTATTGTGAATTCCACATCTAGTTTATACCAAACTGCGGTGTCTAAGAGTGTATACATTATAGAATTCTTATATATTGATCGTTATTATCTTTGAAAAACACACAATATTTACATGGACCAGTTTGTTTACTCTTCTGGCCAACTATAGAAATATATGGTATATATTTTATATTCTGACTATCAACAACATAAATAATATCGTCGAATATGCTGCTGTCAATACAGCCATCAAACTCTGCATTCCTCCTATGGGTGACCTAAGGAAAACGAAGAGGCACATCGCCCAGGAAATCTCTGAATGGGAGGAAGAGCATGGTCCTGAAGATGGGGTTCCTGAACGGGCTCCTGAACTTGAATGGGGTTTCATGGATGACTCTGACCAACCAATGGCACCAGGCTAGGGGCTAGTGTTGCTGATTTGTTCTTTACCCCTGCTAAGAAACCCTGTATCCCACACCATATTTGAACTTACCACCACTTTCTCGCCTTGGCCAGGCATTGGCCAGAATGGAGACATGGAGGATGCCGATGCTGCCCCTGTGGCAGTGAGTCGGAAGATGTGAAGAAGGAGATGGATAAGCTGTGTTTCCCCCAGTTGGAGGGGGACATGGCCCCAGGCGCACTGATTCCCAAGGCATGTGCCAGCCTTCAGAAGCAGATTACCAAGTTGCAACACATGTTGGAACCATGTAAGTCCGTCGAGCGACTCACCCCACTGCAAAAGCGGATACTAGTCATGTATGATCATGGACGGGGGAAACCAGTCTTGCCCAGGATGCATTATACAAACCAATCCAAACATATAACATGAGAAATGCGAAAGAAAAATAACGTGTCACTTGGTTTCCCTGATTTGGTAAGATTTATGTTTGTAAATTGGGTGTTTGTTTTACTTTTATCTGAGCGAGCACATTGTTATTTGTTTTCCCCGATCCATTGCTCGCAACTATGTCCATCGTGTTGCGGATGTCATGCAGGGAATTTCCAGAAAGTAATTTAGCGACCATGGCCATGAACACAAGAATTTTCAAATCTAAAAGTCAAATGTTCAATGTCCCATTTACTTTTTGTGGTTATTTGGTATGGGGTTCAGTTTGTTTATCATACTTCCAAAAAAGGAATGCATTGCCATGCATTGTCAATAGATTTCACAAAAAAGGGGTTGGTTGCATGCCCAACTTTTTACATGTTCCCTGGTGCATGTTGTGGGATCTTCAAAAAATCAATGTTCGAATGTTTGGGGTATAGAGGTGATAGCAGATGGGGCCATGTAGGATCGGCACTAATGGTGGATATCCACAAACTGTTCGTTGCATCATTAGGCTGGGGGCCAAGAGCAATTAAAATCATCTGAGAATAGTTTTCTATGTTGATAGTAAGTGATAGTAATGTTTCTATTGTAGGTCCTTTTAGCATTCAACTTCAATTGGGGTCATAGCTTATGACATTTACCATTTGCGCCCAAGGATGAAGGACAAACTCGAGGCCATTGTCTCTGATTTGACTCATCATGATGAGCAGCTGATGGATCAACATGGGGAAGGAATCCTGGATGGGTTCACTCGTGCGTTCCTTGATGCATGAATTTGGATCAAATTCCAAGATATTCCAAAATTGTTAATATATTTCATAAGGGCTGGGTTTAATTAATGCGGTACAGCACAAAACTTGTATTTATATGTATTTACGATGGTATCAACTTGCATGTACCGATTTTAGAATTGGTTCCCAAGAAAAAATAGGTAAAACCTGAACGGATGGTTCGACAGTAGAATGACAACAAGAATTGTGAAAATTCATTGGTTATGACCTGGGAGATTTGACATGGGGAAATTACATCGATTGGTATTTTCATAACCGATTGCAATATTGACTGGGATACTGTAGCCCCATCATACCAATTAATCCTCATTGTTGTGTATCAGAACCCCAATGATATCCCTGTTCTGTTGACTATACTGTATTTTTTAAAGGTTAAACCTCACCGTTATCCACAAGTTTTTTTGGTTCAATCCCATCACAGAATCCATGTCTAACCTTTGTTCTCCTTATTGTTGGCTACCTCCCATTCCTTATCGGCTAGGTCCCATGGAAACACCCAGGGCATCCCCATTTTTCTGATCAGATACATCCCATTTATAGCACCATTTTGGTTGTTTAATCCCTATATATTATAATATCCACACTATGCCTCCCCCAGTTTAGGTTGCAGAAAAAAGTCTCAACCGAGCTGGATGATGCCCGAAAGAAGCCTTGGCCTTGTTTACTCCTGTTGATTATCATCAATTTTGGTACAGGGTTTAGTCCACAAAACTCTGAGGCTTGTGGAGTCAATGTCCGTTCTGCACTTTGCTAAGTTGGAACCTAAGTCTTTGTCACCGCTAAGCACACAATAGAATGACCAGCCAATCAAAACCACATCCCTCTCTCCCAGGTCCAGGATGCCCACCTCTGAGAAGGCTCACGGCGCCGTCCCAAAGCCAAAGGGGCAGCCTGGCGCTAATGGTAAAGCTAAGGCAAGGCCAAAGGTTGTGCCAAAGCGCCGGGCTCGAGCGGCAGCTGCCAGCTGAATGATTGATGTGTCCCAGGGATTCTTGAATGTGCTAGAGACTCTACCTCCTCAATAGCAAAGCCTTCAGAAAGAACATAACAGCGTCATCAAGTTTGAAAAGCTCATTGCCCATTGGCCATTCCTGTGGTTCCGGGCACAACAATTAGAGAAGTGAGATGGGGAATTCTCGCTGAGTTTTACCAAAGCTGATCGAAAGATTGCAACATGTTGGTTTTCCAACGATGTCATCAAGGCATTCCGCACAAGTCAGAGGAAAAAAATGGAGAGTTGCAATCAGTAGTGCTTTATGTTTCGATACAATCTTGTGTGAACTGCTTGATTTTTTGGAAATATCGATGCTTGAGCAAGTACTGCACATTGCCACCTAGTTTGGGTCACGCCAGGTTCTGAACACCAAGTCCCAGATAGTTTCATTGCGAATATCGCTGACTCTATGGGAAATGGCGTCCGGGCCCAAATCGATTGTCCTTTCCAATGACCCATCCGCCCATGCGGCTGCCTGTCCCAGGCCACAGCTCAGAGCGCTGACAACTTGTTGCGGTCCCTGCAGGGCAAAGACGGGGATTCTTCAAATGCATCCCGAGATATGCACAAGAAGATGAAGGATTTGGGATACTCACTTCCGGTTCCAGTTCAAAAAACTGACCATATTCTTGATAGCCCAGATGTTCACCAACTGACCAGCTACCATATCAGACCAGAAGATTGGGTGAAACACTGGATGAATCATGAGCCGGAACTCCTAGGGGGGTTCAATGCAGATCCATTTACTAATTTCGAAGCTTATTGGCGAGCCTACCAAGTGCAGCATCCTAGCCATGAAGTCTTTTCCAAGCACCAAATTCATCTCAACAAGGTGGTACCCCTATTTGTCCATGGGGATGAAGGCAAGGCTGTCAAACGTACAAACTACCTGGTTGTCTCTGTCGAGTCGCCCCTGGGATCTTTGGATGACCCAAATATCAAATGCACTTGTTGCGAAGATTTGAGAAAGAGAGCTGGTTTGCCATCCTATGGATCCGATTTGGAACCCGTTAGCCAAGAATTTCTGAATACGTGCCGCCAACAGACTACAAATTTCAAGGGGCATTCCTACTTGTCCCGGTGTCTTTGCTTTGGCGTGGGGGGGTGGATTTACAAACGACACCCACATGTCGTTGACACATTGCTGGCTGAACTGGTCAAAAGCTTGCAGAAACTTTTCTTTGAGGGTGTGCACACCGACAAAGGGCTCATCTTTGCTGCAGTAGTGGGTATCAAGGGAGATCTTGACTTCCACAAGAAGGTTATGGGGTTGACCCGTTCCTACGCCAATATTGGAACAAAAAATGATTTGGAAATATGTCATTTGTGTCTGGCAGGACGACGTGGTATTTCTGCTGAAGATTATTGTGAAACACCCCAGTGGCTTCAAACCCTGTGCTGTGAGAGACCCTGGTCTAGACAAAACCCACCCACTATGTCGAACATTCCGTATGACCCGAGCTGCCCAGAAGAGATTCTGAAGTTGGACATGTTCCACATCAACAGGCTTGGTGTCGGCCGAGATGTGATTGGAGGAGTATTGATACTGTTGCTACGTCTCAAATTTTTTGATTTCCCTGGGAGTACAATCAACCTACCTGATCGCTTCTCACGTGCACATGGGCACTTTGCTTTATGGTGCTTGGCAAATCAAAAAAAGCCTGGCTTGCACAGTTTTAGCAAATCCTTTTTCAACATGGTGACCCTGATCTCAGCACCCTGGGCTTCAAGCAAGGGCTCAGATACAGTTTTACTGCTGGAGTGGCTGCAAACTGTGCTGAAGATTGAGCTTAGCAATCCCACGGTTCAGGGGCATGAGGAGCTTTTAGGGTTCATGCTTCAGGTTGTTGAAAGCTGTTTGGAGCTTCGAGTGTTGCACCATCACAGGCTATGGTTGGAACGGCACTGTGCCAAAAAAGTCTATGTATCCATTATGACGTTGCTGCGCGGGTATTCAGTACTTGCAAGATCTGCGCTGCAGTTGAAGATTCGTGCATTTATACAAAAGCCGAAGCAACATTCACTTCATCATATTGCCATTTTTTTGAAGGCTGAACTTTTGAAGGGGGCCACTTTGATCCAAAGCCCTCAGAGCACCTCCTGTGACATGAATGAGGACTTTGTTGGCCGAATCAGCCGCCTAAGCCGCCGCGTCGGCTTCCAACTGTGTGACCTTCGTGTGATCGAACGATATTTTATGAAAATCAAAGTCTTGCTTTTAAAACGCAAATGTCCAACAACTCTCAAAGTTCGCAAGGTATGGGCCAAGAGATGGGGATCTAGCCATAAAACATAATAAGCTACTTCCAACAAGTCACACTATTCAAAGAAACCTCCAAGAACTAGGCTGTCAAAGAAAATCATGTTTTTGCGGGCTTTCCCCAGATCTCAGTTTCTGGCACTGTTTCGCTGGCTGCACGTGGATCAGGAACGACATCAAGGTGGAGAAAAGGGATGAGTTGGATTGGGTAGTCAACGCATTGATGGGGGTTTACATTTGATTGTTTGATGTAAAGCAAAACCGAAAATATGAATCGATTTGGTGCTATCTTAACCACACATCATTGGCTCTGTTGGTTTGGGATCCCTTGGGTTAACCTGTTCATTCAATTGATAGTAGAACCATGTATAATATCTATTATGACCACGTTGTTTTCGATATGTTGGCATTATGTTGGCATTATATCACATCATAACATAGCATATCAAGCAACCTGGGCCAAAACCCTTCGGGCAGAAAAAAATGCCTCGGGCTGAATATCCTGCAAAGGCTGAAAATTCTGCCCGGGCAGAAAAAATGGAAGCAGGAAGTTCCAGGTATAAATACATCAACCGCACTGCGAAACCAGCATCAGATCATTTTCATTGTCAAAAACCATGCGGTCCGATCATCACTTGTTTCACGAACATTCAGCGTACATATGGGAATAAGAATGTTCACTCTGTGCACAAAACAATCATCATGGACATGTCCACAAAAGAATTGATAACAAAACATTGAGTGCCAAACAGCAAGGAAGCAACACACCTGGAGCACATGAAAGTTCGGCATCACTAAACGTTAACCTTTTGACAACAGGACACAGCAAGTCGATCATACAACACAGCAAGGCGATAAACTTCACAGAAAAGTGTATTTCTCTTTTTCATCAAGGTAAATGTTCCGTGTAGAGATCCAGACTCCAACGACATGGCGGCACACTTGAAAAGAGAAAGGCTATGTCTCAAATTTCCAATGACTACATGTTGGAGAACATCATCGGGCAGTTTCAAATCTTGAGATCTCACGGACGGTCCCTTCAAAAATTTCGAAAAATGCCACAACTGTTGGGGGTGTCTTGTCAAGCATGCCTACACTGTTTGCTCATGCCGCATGGTATTTTGTTTCCCCATGCGTCACTCTTGTCTTGTCCATTTCCTGCCATCTGAGCCCCGGAATGTTTGATTCACATCTATGGAGCAAAGAGGTCAACAAGGTCTGCACGTGAAACAATGAATTCCCATGGAGCAACACAAAGCATGCTCGCTGAAGCTCGAGACTGGGATCGCGACTCCGAAGCTTGCGATAAGAAAGCACCATCCTCTGGCGAATGACCTACAAGCTCAAGACTCAACTGCTGCTTCACGAACAACGTCTATCAAAGAATGGCGAACATCCAAACAATACACATGCTATATATAAATACATCAACTGCACTGCGAAACCAGCATCAGGTCAGTTTCATTGTCAACACGACACAGCAAGTCGATCATCAGTCAACTTCACAGCGAAGTGCATTTCTCTTTTCATCAAGGTAAATGCTGTGTGCAGAGATCGAGAGATGACAGTCAACGAACGTGCCGGCTCCAGTGTTAATCTAATGTCAGTTTTACGGGATGCCTTTGAAGTCAGGTAGATGTTTTACATGTTCTAACTCTAACTTCATGACGCAACGCCTGCTCCCCGCTCGGACAGTCCCTACTGCGAGAAACATACGTCAGGTCATGTTTTACATCTTCTAACTCTAATTTCATGATACAATGCCTGCTCCCCGCTCGGACAGTCCCTACCGCGAGAAACATACGTTGGGTCATGTTTTACATCTTCTAACTCTAATTTCATGACGCAACGCCTGCTCCCCGCTCGGACAGTCCCTACCGCGAGAAACATACGTCAGGTCGCAGTGTAGTATACCGTCGAAATAAGATGACCATGTCGAACAAAGACATCCGGTAAATCTAAACAACGCTACATGGCCGCTGACAAAGCTCCCCGCCAGCAATGCTAAGCAAAAAGATCAGCAGACATTTCATCTGCAGACAAATGCTGTGACACCCAAGGGATGCACTGCCATGAAAGTCTATGCACATACTTCAGCGCCTTCCGCTCGTCCACGCAGGCCTGACCTTCAAACTCCCGCATCCGCTGCACCAAAAGAGGATTGTGTTCGTGCAGAAACTTTTCGAACACATTGCGAGGCGGCAAATCCACTATCCACAGATCTTCCAGCTTGGTTGGCCTTGACAACATCACGTACATAGCCAAGCCATAGTCCGCTTGACTCATCCAGGACGGTTTGGACATGAAAGCAAGCAGCCCTTGTCTGGCAGTGATGCCCTGCAAACCGTAGTGCGTGAGAACGTGACGAGGTGCCAGTGGCAACTGTTTGCGATGAACCTGCATAAATTGATTGCCCCCAAGAGGAAGATCCCAGGCCTGATCACATGTAACGGGACGCAGCCAAACGTGTCCCTTCGGAGCACTGCCATCTGGCAATTCAATGGCACGATATTCCGGGTCATCGATCTCGACCAAGACGGCCAACGGCTGATATTGCAAAACGACACGTCCACTGCTGTTTGAAATTACAGGTTCCTTCGGGTGCAACTTAATGGAGCGAACAATGACCGGCAACTCTCGACTCAGCATCGGCATGTCCAAAATGCAACTAACACGTGCTGCCATCCCTTCATACAAAGGGCAAATGCCCATGAGATACTGCGTTCTTGTCATGTTCACAACCTGCAATGCCTTCAGGCTCTGCTCCCTTGTCAAATCTGTGGGCCCCGATGCACGATCAATAGCTTGCACCAAGAAAAGAGTCGTGGACCTCTGTTGAGCTTCCCAAGCCACCCGCAAATGCTGTAAACGAGCAACCTGTTCCCACGCCAGGCCGCCCCAGTGAGCACTCAACAACCTTGAGCGCAAGGAATTGTCAGAAAAAAGTTGCTCTCGGCTGATCACTCGAGATTCCAAAGCTCCCCACAATGTATCCTCCAGATGTTCGCCTCGCCGCATGGACAAAAGAATCCTCACAAGCTGCTGTCCGGATGCACACTTCGAAAAACGACCGGATCCAGTGAAGTGCACAACTCGCTGAAGCGATTGCTTGAACGCGATCCGTCCAAGTTCTGAGGCATTGCTGGTGCGTTCAGCCGCCTCCTTCTCCACGGCCTCTTCGGCATCGCTTTGGTCTTCTTGGTCTTGAGGCGGTGCAGGATCAGTAGCTCGTGGCGCATCCACCCATTCGCACAAGGATGCTTGCGCAGTGGGTCGCAATTGTAGAAAGTCAGCAACTTGCACACCAATGGGCACCTTCCCAAACCACTGCTTCAAGTAGTCGCCCATGTCAAGCATAAGTCGAGCTTGTCGAACAGTGGCAAATCGAAGCGAAGCAGCATGGTACACATCCGAAGGAACCATCGACAACTCGTCCAACAGCATAGCCATGATGCCTTCGATCTTCTTTTCGATCGGGCTGCCCTTGCTCTTCGCCGAACGCAAGGAGCGGCGATCCAAGCTGCTGCTCTTGTGCACATTGGCCCACTTGTGCAAAGTTTTGGCCTCAGGCCCCAGGAGGCGAACAGCAGCGTGAGTCGGAGCACCAGCAACATAACCATCCTGTCCAAAGAAGCGTCGAAAGAGTGGCCTCAATACTTTGCTGTATGCATACGTCTTTCCAGATCCACCAGCTCCGAGCCAAAGACAATTGCACCTTTCATTGCACGCACCATCCGCAATGCAATTGTCCGGATTGCTTCGGTTAAGCCACATCTGTTCCATGACCCAAGCAATGGGTGCAATGGCCAAAATCTGTTGGCGATTCAGACTGTGCTCCACAAGCAAGGCAGAAGCATAATCACTCGGACCCACATTCCTCTGGTTCAGCTCCACCAAAAAGGCATCTTCCGTCTCTGGCAAAGGCCGAAAAACATGATCTGCCATCATCTCAGTATCCTCTTCACCACCTGCTGCATGAAGACCCACCAACGAGAACACAACAAGCAAACAAAATTCCCCCCCCCCGAAAAAAAAACAACAGAACTGACATATTCAGCAAATCAGCTATATGTTACAACGACAAAAAAGAAAAACAAAACAAAACTCATCCACAACCACAAAGCTCCGCCTCCAACGCAAAATTCCAAATATTGCTTCTGCAGCATCAAAGACCTCTGGGCTTCGGCGAACGTCCAATTACGCTCCAATCCACTGGCTGCGTTGCCTTTGATTCCCAAATCAATCCTCGCATCCGGAACACCTCCCAAACCATTCACAAAGTCACGCAAACGCTGCAACGCATCCTGCAGCACCGCAGCTACATGATTGTTTGTCGGTAACATATGTTCTCGTCAACAAGGCCATATCACAAAAGCTCGGTACCACATACTGGTGATCATGGAACGTATCATATCCTTTTAGTAGACATTTTCCACACGGATGACTACTTACAGCTTGCTAGCATGATGCAGCAAACAACGCATGTTGCAACACAAGGCATATCATGCTTTATTCGGCACATCTCACACCCGCTGAAAGATGAATCATCAACAACGTTACACAACAACAGCTTAGTACCATGATGCTGCGAAAAACATATGTCATCTCCTTTTATCAGGGAAATTCCCACGAACATCGCCCAAAAAGCTCGATACCATGTCCTGCAATACAGATGGCTTTCGATTGCCCAACACCTTCATCCAATCCTCTTCCCGAAACATAGCTTCGTGCAATGCTTCTCCATCCACCGGCCACTGCGCACGTTCCAAGTTGTCCAACTCTTCTTGCAATAGCAGATCATCCTCGACCTCGTGTCCTTCTATAACCGGCGGTGCCGAATCATCTTCCAGGTCCTCCTCCTTGTCCAAAGCAGTCATCAAAGCATAACGCTCAGCTGTCCGACGACTGCTGCTGAGACGACGTGCAGCACAGTGCTGCTGGAAACGCTCCAACCACGATGTCTGAATATAGGCCAAGAACTCTTGCGATGTCAACTGAGTGTAATGAAACGGAACGGACAAGTCTGCGAACCAGGC